CTAGCTAGAATAATGTTTTTAAAGTTTACCGCAATAAAAGTATAAGTCCGAGTATTTCAAAATGTGATAGTAAATACAACTGATCTCAAAATATAACTGGATAGCGTATGAGGTAAATTTTTTGAAGCCAGTTTTGGCCTTCCAAGATGGAGGTGTGAAAAAATAAAAAAAATTTGGTTACGAACTTTTATATCTTTTTTAAATGCAAATAAATGTATAAGCCTCAAATATAAATATAATTTTCGATTTTACATAGCAAATATTTTAACGCAATATTTCATATTTACGTAAATTTCTAAAATAATAAATTTTTATTTAAATAATTAAAAATTAGTTTATTTAACATAAGTAGAAACGCATAAGAAATTAGTATTATGCCTAGAACCTAATAGTTAACTATTAGGTTCCACTAATATATGTAACTAGTTATAACCTATTAGTAGAAGTAAAAAACAAATAAAAACCTAGTAGTTATATAATTCAAAAGTTTCCAAACAACTTTAAAAGTGAAAAATCAAAATAATTTAATTTTTTATTTATACTTCATTTATTTACCTTCCTTTAATTTTAGTTTTACCATAAATCAAATATTTAATATTGTTTTTTATACAATTTATGTACCTTTTAGTTCTTAACTACCCAATGCTGTGTGCTAGAAGGTTAATAACACAACTGCATGGTAGACAGCTGAATATCTTTTTAAAATAAACTATTAAAAATTAATATATATATATATATTATATATATATATATATATATATATATATATATATATATATATATATATATATATATATATATATATATATATATATATATATATATATATATATATATATATATATATATAATTATTTGTACCTTGTTTTTTATTTGGTTGTACTTTACTAAAATCACTAAACATGTATGTATGTATGTATATATATATATATATATATATATATATATATAATATATATATATATATATATATATATATATATATATATATATATATATATATATATACACTCAAAAAAATCTTTCCTTCGCTGGTAAGGAAAAAAATTTCCTTAACGGTTTTGCCGTAAATCTTTCCTTCTTTTAAGGAAATAAATTCCTCAAATTACGTGAATTAAATGTTACATCACGCGAACAAAATTATCCCTCCGACATATTTCCTTAAATCAAGGGAATTCAATCACTGTTCAGCTATAAAATAAGGAAATTTTTAAGAAGTTTTACCTCGAGTTAAAAATTAAACTTCACAATTCTATTGCAACAAGGGAGATTCAAATTTTCCTTTTTTTGTTTTCTTATTTTTCTGCATTTTTTATTTTAGTACCTTTAAAATACTTTTTAAATAATTATTAAAGTATTTGTTTGTTGGAATTTATTAGTAATCTTTTCTTGGTACAATCAAATTGTTATTTCAATACTGGTATTAAAATTTTATTGCATTTTCAGTTTTAAAGGGATCCCTAAGTGGGATTTTAAAGGGATCCCTAAGTAACATATGATCTTATATGAAAAAGCATAAAAAAAAAAATGATGTAAGTTTTTTTTCGTTTTCACTAAGCTGTAATAATAAATGCAGGCTAACAAAAAGCAATTGCCGAAATCACTGGAAATCAACTCCATTTTGATTTTATTTTTTACCATTGAAACTCGATTGTTAGTTGTTAAAAATCACGTTAGTACGTCACAACAACTTTAGAATATCAACTTAGATTTTGAAGTAAAAAAAAGTCGTGATTTTTAAGTTTTAATCAAGTTTTTTTAATTAATTTAGCAAAAACAGTATAATAGAATTCGGTTGAAAGACGTCGTTAAAAAAAAGTTAATAAGTAATAGTTTTGAATAGTTTAGAACTTATAAAAAAGTCTTACAGGGCTCAATGCAAGAAACAATAAATTATAAAAAACGTGATATCTAATTTTTTATTAAGTTTTTGACGATGTTTTTTGATTTATTGACAATTTTTTTTAGTATATGCGAGATCAAAGTTTGGGCCCCCTATTATAAAAAAATATATGTGCGTTTATTATGAACTTATTATATGATATGTTTTGGTAAATTGCACATAATTATTAAAATACTTGAAACACAATAAAAACATAATATACTATTAAATATTTATCGTACTTAGCATAAAAACTGAGAAAAAAGTTTTAAGCGAAACATATTTTTTCAAAGAAAATTACATACAGTTGACTCTTGATATCTCGAACTTTCAAGGGACCAGAAAAAAAAGTTCCAGATATCAAGAGTTCGAGATATTGTGAGGATTTTAGCTCAAACAAGTGCGCATAGAACCGAAAATAAAGTTCAATATACACAAAAGTTCGAGATATCGAGTCGCATTGCAACATTGGCGCAGCTATTGTATTGCACTATATTGTATTGTCACTCTTGCCGTCAGCTGTCAAAAGAGAATGCAGATTTTTGAACTTTTCTTTAAATGCATCTGTTTCTCGTTTTTTCTATTTCTATTTAATGTTATTACAAAATTCAAATTGTTTGCTTTGATCTTCCATCTGTTTAAACCTTTTCAACAAAGAATTAGTTGCAGTGTCTTAAACTACAAAAAAGAAATTTACTTTCAAAGGCTCCTTTGCCAATTTCACAGATTCATCTTCATTTGCCAACTTTATAAGTTTATCAGTTACCTTCATAGGAAAATCGCCTTTTAATCTTACTCGGCCTGACCACAACTTCATTAGAGAACTTTGGATTGATGGTCAGTTTTTTTACCAGTTTCATTGCATCTGTAGTAACATTATTCTGTCATATTCTCCAAAAAAGTCTCGGTACTATCAATTAGTTTCAAAGTGCTGACCAGATTAACAATTTTCATCTGAATTGTTTTGCTTACTTAATTAAATTTGAACAAGACATCAACCAAGTGACGAAACAGCAGAGAAATTTGAAATCTGTAGTTTTCTTGGCCATTCCCATAGCGGTACATTTTCCAAAAACATTAATCTTGGAATCTAACATGGATTCATAGACAATGTCATAAACCCCATAATTGTGGTATGGCAAAGTTTCAAGAGCGTCTATTCTGCTCTCCAAACGGATTTCGCTAGAGGTTTAACAGTCAAATTGTTTACATGATTTTTTAATATAGTCCATTTATGGGTTGATCTAGAAAAAAGTTATGAATCTTTTGAATACAGCTGAAAACGGTAACATCTACAGTGCAGGAAAGAAAAACTGCTTTCTGCAGTTCCCACAAGATAACTGAGTTTAAATTTACAGGAAAAAAAAACAAAGATCTTATTTAGAACTTTTTTTGCATAACAATGTACATGAGTTTTTTTTTGCTGTTACGCGATAAAGATGTTTAGAAAGAACAGAGTTAAATTTTGAAACTTGTTCGCAAGTTTAAAAAGTTTCAATTGTTTTCTTTGAAAACTGTTATGCTTGTTCCACGACAAGCCAATCTTTGAGTACCAAGACGTTGCACAAAAACACAGTGAGGAGTTAAAACTAAATTTGTGTTCAATTTTTTTTTTGGAAAAGGCAAAACCATGAACAAAAATGGTGAACTTGACGAACACGTATTGATATTTAGTTTTAATTTAAAGAAAATAATTCAAGTGTTTCATCAGGAGTGCATTTTAAACCATAAGACCGTGAATTTGCTCCTAATATTATCAGTGCCGAGAGAACTAGTTGTCATTTTTTGTTTGTTTGTTATAATTTATAAAAATAGTTAAAAGTACACTAAAACTTAACACCAAGAAAAAAAGTTTGTAAAAATAGAACACAATAACTATTATGGCTTAAATAACAGCAATCAGTTATCTTTCTAAATTAATATTTTGTATTTAATAACTAACTTGATAGTAATAAATGCCCTTTTATATTAAATCTTAACAGCAATTTATGCTGATTAACGTTTGTATCGATTTAATCAATGTCTTTGCTTGTTTTTTTTTTCTTTTCTTTCCATATCATATATTTGTGTTTTCTATAAAAGAAACCGTGGTTTCTTTTATAGAAAACAAAAATATATGATATGGAGAGAAAAATAAGACGGCAAAAAAAGAACCTTCTTCACACCAAAATGACTCACAAACTTATTCTTTTAAATAATTAACTAACTACTACATTTTTCTGTAGTTATTTTTACATTAAAATGCAGAGTAAAAACATACAAAATCAATAGTTTAAAACATAAACTATGGCGCCCCTTAATTTAAATTTACGATTGCAATAAACATTTAATATAAAAATAAAACACGATTTAAATAAACAGTTAACTCGCAAACTTATTCTTTTAACAATCAACTAACTGCTAATCCTTGAACTTGTTTTTTTTTTGTGTTTGTGTTTGTGTTTTTTTTTTGTTTTTTTTCATTGAAGTGCTGAGCCAAAATGTACAAATTCAATAGTCTAGCATATAAAATTTGGTGCCCCTAATGTATAAACAACTTAGTATTAGCACATATCATGGACGCCAAAAGTTATATTTAAGTTTATTTTTTTCAAAGTCAAAACTGTGATTTAAAAAAAAACAAGAAAAAACAAAAAAAAACATCGGTTACATCAGCGCGGCGCCCTAGTCACTTTGGCGCCCTATGCGACGGCATAATTCTCATGGCCCTTGCGCCGGCCCGGGCTAGACTTACAAAGACGTCAAGTACGAAACCAAGCGAATAAGTGAATTTTTTCCCTGTGGTTTCATGCTATATCTGATAAACACTATTTTTTGTCATTGGGTACAAATTGACAGTTTAAAATATATTTAAAAATTATCGTCAAGCTGTTGTTCTCCGTCATGTTGATTGACATGTGTGTGAAAAACTATACCTTATATTTCGTATTGTTCTATTTATCTAAGTTAATATTTTATTGAAAACCAGCCTGAAAATTGATCAAGATTTTAATAATGATGTTTGTAACCGAATTAAGCGGACAGAATTCATAATATATTTAATAGGGTATATTTAATCTCATCCGCAATGTTTAATTTTAAAAATTTACGCTACAATTAAAGAAAAGTTTAATTTTTTCGTAATGCGATGGAGGGTACTTGCTGATAGTTTCTTCAAATCAAATTGCGTTAATTCATTAATTATATTATATCAAAAAAAAAAAAAAAAAAATTAGAAGTTTATGTCTATCAACCTTGTAAAGTTGTAAAAGCTGTATTTTTTATATACTGTAAACAAAAGTAATTATTTACAATATGTTTTGTTATGACTAAAAAAAAAAATCAAATCTAATATTGTTTTTATCAAAATTTTACTTAAGGATTTTCAAATGAAATCAAAAAGATCGAAAAAGGGTGAAGTTATAGAATACGTTGTTGAATATGTTGAGAATGCAAGCCAAAATGAGCCAACTAAAGAAATCTCAAATAGTTGTATTAATGATAATAAACAAAAAGAAACTCAGTCAAATTCAAAATTAGTAATTGATGATACAACATCCAGTAGTTCGTTAATTTGTTCAAACATTAATTTAAAATCGATTGATAACAATACACAAGAAGAAACTCAGTCAAATTCTAAATTAGTAATTGATGATACAGCATCCAATAGTTCATTAGTTTGTTCAAACATTAATTTAAAATCGATTGATAACAATACACAAGAAGAAACTCAGTCAAATTCAAAATTAGTAGTTGATGATGCAACATCCAGTATTTCATTAATTTGTTCAAACATTAATTTAAAATCGATTGATAACAATGACGCGAACAGCGACGATCTTTTTAAATCAAAAAATTTTGTCACAAAAAACAGAGGTGAGCTTCCAGAAGTTACAGCATCTATTGGTTTTGAAGCAGAAAACAAGAAAGTTAGGCGAAGTTCTTCTATTAAAAACTTTTTTTCTCGACGTCCAAACTCTGAAGTATTTGATAAATCAGACAGTCAAGGAAAAAAGTGTGATAAACCAAAAAAACACAGATCTTTTTCTCTTAAGAAAAGACTATCTTTTGGAAAAAAGAGCAGATCTTCCAAGCTTAGCTCATCAAGTACTTCACAAGATAAGATTTCAAAAAGTCAAGAAATATTTTCAACTAACCAAAATGTAGTTTTAAATACAGATGTGGACAATTGGAGAATGGATGGCTTTTTGTTTAATACAATGGAAAAGAAAAATTCAATGCAAACCTTGTCTTTGTTGTCACCATGTGAAAAAGAAGAAAAAATGTCTAATTCTAATGAGGTTAATCTGTTCAATGTTTTAAATAGATTATTAAATCATTTTATGTAATCAATATTCAAAATTGTTATAATTATATTGTTATTATTCAAAATTATTATAATTATAGGTAATTTTTACCTAAAGTATCATTGTTCGCATATATCATTATTGTTATTACTGTTGCTAGTATTTTTATAAATAAATTTTATTATGTTATAAAGATTTACTCAAAATTTGTATTTAAATTAATAAGTATATTTTGCTATATCATAGTTAATAAAAGAAACAAAAAATCAAGTTGAAGTACTAATCGAAAATGAAGTTTGCAATGAGGAAAAACTAATAACAAAAGAAGAATATAAGTTGATCATAAATGTAGAAGATTCTTTAGTGGTTACAATTCAAAATCTGGATATAGTACTAAATGAAAAGCATATTTCTATGCCAACTAATTATCCATATGATGATTGGCTCTTTCTTGAAATTTGCCCTTAGTAGTAGGCATTTTAAAATGTAACTTTATTATTGTAAATAGTTGTACAAAATTTACGGATCAGGAAAATAAAATTGTGGCAATTGTAAGTTGTTACAGTTGATTAAAAAAAAAAAAATGAAATAACATTGAATGTTTCTATTTGTATTGACTAATATTGAATCATTCATATACTTTCAATCAATAATTTAACTTGACATTTTAGATTATATGGTGGTATATGGTTTTTTTTTTTAGCAGAATTAATAATTAATTTCATATTTGAATTTAAAATTCAATTTATTGAATATCTTATTTTTTATTATCAATGCTATTTTTGAAAAGGTCCACTTTTTAGTATCCTAAATAAGTAAAACTACGTTTTTTTCGGTTGAACATAATTATGTCATGTATATATATATAAATTTAACAAAATAATGTTAGCTATATACCAAACATATTTATTCTTTATTTATTTTTGCATTTTATTGTTTTAAAAATATTTTAATTTCATGTTGTAATTTTTTTTTTAATAATATTTTCAAAAATGAAGTTCTGAAAAGTTTTTTTTATAAATTTTGGAGTTAGCTTCAATTTTCTTATACAAATACTAAATATAAAGTTTGCTTTGTGTTCACTTTCTTACTTTGTGTTCTTTTGTATTTATTTTATTACTTGTTTTATAATAATGTAACATATTAGTGCAATTATGACTGATGACAGTTTTGTCATTTATATTTATGCCATTATGTTATTGTAATCAATTTATGACACAGTTTTTAAGTTATGAAAAAAAAGAGTTAAATAAAATGGGGTTTTATATGTTTTTAAAGTTTAGATAAATACCTAATTCTTTGTTTTTTAGAAAATAAGAAAACAAATTTGACGATATCGAGAAAATGTCACTATATATTCCAATTTTTTTTTATTTTTTTTCAATTTAAGAAAATTTAGTAAAATAAAAATTCTTTTAAAATTTTAGTCTCAAACTTCAAACAAGTTTCTAAAAAATGAAGTTTTTTGCTATTGGCCAGAATACTCTTGTCCCCTCAGAACTACAGTGTTTATTTAGCCTGATAATTTAAATCAGTTTTTAAGCTATATAACTTGTTGTTTCGACTAAAAATTTGTACACAGCTATTTTTTTTTATAATAAAGAACATAATGAAATGATTAGAATTTTCCTAATTAGGTTATTTAAGGTTAAAATAAGAATTATCTTTGAAGGTAATCAATAGCAACAATTAATATTTTTTTAATTTAGGCGGTAAACTGATTATACTAGATATAGAAAAACAATTGAGAAACTAGTTTACAAATGCTTTGCCTGGATATCATCTTTGTTGGTGCTGTTTTGAGGCTATAATTGATAAATTTAGTGAATAAGAATCAGTCAGTGCGTTAAATATTAGTCGTGAATTAGTAAGTTTTTTGCAAAGCATCTACAGTTATCTGTTGCACTCCGACTAAAGTAAACTCAAGCAAAAACAAACAGTTCCACACACAATAAAATAAAAAATATTTTCTGAAATAATATTAAATATATAAAATGACAACAAATTTACTAGACAAATATCTAAATAAAATTAACATAAGGGGTTGTCCATAAATTACACCACACTCTAAGGGGGAGGTTCGTGGTTTAGTAACAACTTATACAGGATTTGTTAATAAAGAGTTACTATATTGTGGCAAAAGGAAGGAGATCATTAATTGTCCATGATTTTAGACCTTAAAGAACTATGTTTCTTTTAAAATTAAATATAATCAAGTGTTTCTTTGATTTTTTGTAGTGTAAGACCAAATTAGTATATAACTATATGACAGAGTGAGTCTCTGATGCTATAGAGCATCAGAGACTCACTTTGTTTGTGTATGTACTCCATATCAAAATACTGTTAACCAACGCTATACAATGGAAATGTACCTACAAAGGTTTGATGATAAAATGTTTGTGATGTGACAAGTAACGAGTGTATTGTTTTCTTTATTGGCATTATTCAAACAGTGGCAGACTCCAGCAATAATCAGTCAGACAACAACAATTAAAGAATACAAAATGATGTCTAAAGCAATAAAATTGATAGCAGCTTAATCATACATTGTAAAATGTCAAAACTAAAGCAATAAAGGCAAAGTTTAGCTAAAGGTTGTTGTATTGTTTTGGTGACATAGCAGATAGGTACATGTTTGTGGTTCAGATTGATATGCAAAGTTATCATTGAAGCAAAAGTCAGTGTTCATTACACCCAGCTCACTATCCTCTATTGAAAAAAAAATGCTTGCTTAAAGTAAAATTGATTTGCTAGATGTTGGAAGACTATGAGCATGACACTTGTTTTGTGTCATAAAGATAATTTTGATATTGATGCAAAGAAGAATTTATTTACTACAAGTCCTGGTAAGTCACAATTTAGTGGTTTTGGTAACATTATAAAATGATTGACTGCAAAGCCAATTCTTTAAAAGTCCATAAGTGAATAGATATTGAATTGTAATAAAGTATTTGTTTTCATGGTTGAATAAGAAAAGCTGATATAAGTGTGCACCACTTTTTAGCTAAATAAGACAATTTTTGCAACTAGGATCTATTGTCAATTTAACCCTATTGTCAATTTAAATCTATAGTCAATTAAACCTATTGTCAATTTAAATCTATAGATATTGTAGTTTTAAAAGGTAAATGGCATTTTTTTATTTACTTCTATTCAAAGAAAAAATGAAATTTATTCTGTTTAAAATTTAAAATTCTGTTGATTGCTTTCATTGAGTTAGTATAATAATTGAAATTAACCAATGAGATGTTTTTAAAAAGTTTGAGCACTAGCACATTTTTTAAAATAAACTTTTATTGTTGTCTAAATTAGATGATGTGTTTCAATTATTAAAACAATTTTCAGCATTGACATCTTTCTATAATATCTGAGTAGATCTTTAGTTTAATTGTTTGCACATTTAACTGTTAACACATTTTAAATCTTCAAAATAATTTTGGCACTCACTTTTTTTATTTTTATGTAAATATCATTTTATACAACTTCATTATCAAATTTTGTATTTATCATTTTATTCAACTTAACCATGTACATTTTGTTTAACATAATTAATTTAGTTAATAAAGTTTTTTGTTATAAATAAATTTAAATTTATGCTTTTTAATTATTTACTGTAATTTATATGTGTTTGATCATAGTTTATTAATTATGGTTAAATTCTGATTATCTCATTAAAGTCCTCTCCCCAGAAAATATATTGTTGAGTAAAGAACAAATATTTTTTAATTTCTCTGATTTAAAACCTCTTAATAAAGGTACGGATTCTAAATGGGCTAGGCCAATATCTATTAAATTAATTACTTCACACATTGGGAATATTTTAATAAAATTTATATTTTGTTACATTCTTACAATCGTATAAAACCAGCAAAGTCTGAGACATGTTGGCTTTTTTTAAAAATATTCTGGATTATTTAACATGATATTACCAAAAATTAATTGTATTTTAGTTTTTGTATAACAGAAAATCGTATGCAAAAATTTGTAAAAGAAGAGGGAACAAGCAAACATTCCTTGCCATTAAAAAAAGTTCTATTTAAAAAAAGATAGTACAGCTATGAATCAGACACCTGAAAGAAGAAAGTTAAAAATTAAAGAATCTTTAACACCTACTGGTACCTGGAAAGATCGATTCAGGGAG